AGAAGATAGTGGGGTGTGATTATTCTAATCGGAAAAAAAAAATGTTAACAACATTAAAATAATATTTTTTTAAAATATTATTTTTTTAATTTATTAATTAATGAATATTAATTATTTTGATTGTCACTTTCTTGAGAAGATAGTGGGGTGTGATTATTCTAATCGGAAAAAAAAAATGTTAACAACATTAAAATAATATTTTTTTAAAATATTTTAAAATATTATTTGTTTAATTTATTAATTAATGAATATTAATTATTTTATTGATTATGTATTAGTTAATAAAAATAATTATTAATTATTTTTATTAATTAAATTAAAAATAATATTTTATAATTTTAATAATCATAATATTTTTATTGATAGTTATAGTTGATGAAACTCTTAAATTGACTTGAATTTAGATTCACAAAAGATTATCCTGTGAGAAAAATTAGAAAGGATTAACCTCCCACGTGTTAATTTATTATTTATTAAAAGTATTCAAAATCCTTTTATTACTTCATCAAAAGAAAAAGGAAAATCCTTTTATTACCATTCCTTTTCCTTTTTTTTTTTTTTTTCCAATTCCTTTAGAAACACTTTTGCGGGACTCTTTTTCTTTCCTTCTCTAACTTTCATGCCATACTCCATGTTACAAATATATAGAGAGATCAGTGTTTTGAAAGTCCACCCGAATGTCAAACTGCTTTGGCCTTTGAATTTTGGTTTGATCTATTTAATTGGTTAAATTATTTAAATTATTGATTTAATTTAATATAATTAAATATAATATTATAGAGTTTTTAGCGTAGTGGTTCTACTAGTTTGTTATCTGACCAATTATGGAGAAGATGCAAATTATCATGCATGTTTTCAATTTCTAACTTATAATATATTAATAGGTTTTTTATATGTAAAGTGTACAATAAATGTAATTTTTTAATTAATTTATATAAAAAATTATAAATTTTGATTTTAAATTAATTAATTAATTAAAATCATTAAAACAAATATTAATTTGTATAATTTTATATATAAATTAATTATAAAAAAATATATTTATTACATATCTAACCTATAAATATAAATTAAACAAACCCAACTAAGATTGAAGTTTAGGAAAAAAAAAAGGGACACGGCATTAATAATATTAATTAAGTTCGAACACCCTTTTGAGATTGTATATTATAT